CCGGGAGGAGCCCGCGGGGCTGGGGGGAGGAGCCCTCCCCTTAACCCGTTCGGGGCAGCCGCAGGGCGCGGACCTGGCGGCCGTCCCACCCCGGAGCCCGGCTCAGATGTGGCCGCTTGCCCCGGAGAAAGCCCGCAGGAGGCGGCGGTGCTGTCCCGGGAGGTCCCATCCAGGCCCGGAGGCACCGGCTCCTGGCGCCGGGCTGCGGCGGGGATGGGCAGCCCTGAGCCGGGCTGCCTTGGGGCAGAAGGCCCGGGGATGCTCTTTGCTCTCAAACTCCAGCGAACACGCGCTCCGACCCGTTCTTATGCCTGCTTGTGCCCCCAGATGAGATGCGATGTTCAAACGTCTTCTTGCTCAGGCTTGGCCTTAAGGCTTAGTCCTGCCAACTGCTAGGAGCCACTGAGGAGAGATCAGACCCCCTGGCACAGAATCACAGAATCATCTCAGTTGGGAAAGCCCTTGAAGCTCCTCCAGTCCAACCATGACCCTCCCCCTGACCGTTCCCAACTCCACCAGATCCCTCAGCGCTGGGTCAGCCCGACTCTTGAACCCCTCCAGGGATGGGGACTCCCCCCTGCCCTGGGCAGCCCATTCCAATGCCCAACAGCCCCTTCTGCAAAGAAATCCTTCCTCAGAGCCAGCCTGACCCTGCCCTGGCACAGCTTGAGGCCATTCCCTCGGGGCCTGGCACTTGTTCCTTGGCCCAAGAGACTCATCCCCCCTCTCTGCACCCTCCTGGCAGGGAGTTGCAGAGGGCCAGGAGGTCTCCCCTCAGCCTCCTCTTCTCCAGACTAAACCCCCCCAGTTCCCCCAGCCGCTCCCCAGCAGACCTGTGCTCCAGACCCTGCCCCAGCTCCGTTGCCCTTCTCTGGACACGCTCGAGTCATTCAATGGCCTTTTTGGGGTGAGGGGCCCAAAACTGAACCCAGTCATCAAAGTGCAGCCTCACCAGTGCCAAGTCCAGGGGTAAGATCACCACCATTCTGGGGCTGCCCCAGCTGCTCACAGCTCTGTGGGGAGCTGCTTCAAGGAGACAACTGGCAGAAAAGTGGGTTTTTTTTCAAAGTAGTATTATTTTTCTGCTGGTCCAGTGAAGTCACCTGGCAACCCTTGGAGAGAAGATAGCCATTATGAAAATAAGGACATGCATGGCTTTGAGATCAGCCAGCCATTATGGCTTTGCTACAGCTGAGAGAGATGAAAATTTTACACATTGTGCCCTAAGCCTAAAAGCAGTGAGCACAGATGAGTGTGAACAAGCCTGGCCTCCATCCCTCCTGCCCAAGGAAGCACGGCCTGTCCCACCAGACCTTCTCTCTGCAGTAGCACTTAGGGTGCAGGCTAGACTGGGACTGAGCACTAAAAGGCTATCACTAAACAGTACAACCTGCTGAAAGCCATAGGTCCTGTGGGTAAGGCAGGCTGAGACTTTTGGCTTGTCTTTGCAAGGCCTAATCTTTAGTCCATATTGCCATTTATTGAACCAAGGTAGTGATACTTGCTGTCTTTCATAAAGCAGTTTTCAGATTTGCAGCTAAAATGTGGTATAGAAGAGGTTTGGATGTATCATGTTTTACTCTTCAGCTGTGGCTGCAGTTGTTATCTAACAGGCATGCTCCTTAAGTATTCTTTCACTCAGTGGTCACTCTAAATATGCACGAAAACGGTTAGCACAAAAACAGGCAGCACAAAATTGCACTGAAAATTTTAATAAGGCACCATAAACCTCAAGAATTAAAGCTCCAGTACTCAAAATTTAATGTGTAATGAGTTAGTTGGAAGAAAGGAGGGAATAACACTATGTTGGGTCAGCCCACAGGTTCCTTACAGTCAGCACCCCATCTTCAGTAGGCTGACTAGTAGATACCTGGGTAGGAATACAAAAGCAGTTCAAGCATGTAGTAGCTTTTCCCAAAGTAAACTCCCACCAGTGCAGCACTTTCCAAGAAGGCCAACAACATCCTGGCTTGTACCAGGAGTAGTGTGGCCAGCAGGACTAGGGAAGGGACTGTCCCCCTGTACTTGGCACTGGTGAGGCCACATCTCAAATACTGTGTTCAGTTTTGGGCCCTTCACTACAGGAAGACATTGAGGTGCTGGGGTGTGTCCAGAGAAGGGCACCGAAGCTGGTGAAGGGTCTAGAGCACAAGTCTTGTGAGGAGCTGCTGGGGGAACTGGGGGTGTTTAGTCTGGAGTGAGACAGGGAGCCTAAACAATCTTAGATTGATGGTGCAAGGCCTGCGCAAAAACAAGGGGAGGCGTATGGGACTGTTCGAAAAGACATACCAGGTGCTGATAACGTTACTAGGCGACTATCTCCTAGCCCAAAGAGAAGTTTCTTATGGTCCTTGAAGTTGTAAGTTCCAGCAACAAATCATCCTAGATTCTAGCACAAACCGGCCCAGTGGTTTTGCCAGGGCCCAGGGAACAACTGAGGCTGCGCAGAGCAAAGGGTGAAAAGTTCATCAGCGAGGAGTAAGAGGTACTTCATCTTTACGACCCCTCCCCAGGAAGTTGCGACCCCAGCCCGGAGCTTGAAGAGCTCATCGCACAGGCGCAAGAGGAGGAGACCTGATTACCATGAGAAGCAAGGGGAGGCATGGGTAGACTATGTATATGTACAGGCGTTCTATGAATATGCACTATTTTGTAACATATAAGCTGGACGGGAGCTGCAAACAATGCGCATGCTTGTGGTGGAGTGATCCCCCATGTGCCCAGCTCTGAATAAACATACCCATTTTATAACTCCAAAAGTTATAGAGTGATTTCTCCGCAAAACATGGAGAAAGGAGCCTGAGGGGAGACCTTATGGCGCTCTACAGCTACCTGAAAGGAGGTTGTAGCGAGGTGGGGGTTGGTCTCTTCTCCCAAGTAATAAGTGATGGGACAAGAAGAAACAGCCTCAAGTTGCACCAGGGAAAGTTTAGACTAGATATTGGGAAAATTTCTTCACTGAAAGGATTGTCAGCTGCCCAGGGAAGGGGTTGAGTCACCACCCCTGGAGGTATTTAAAAGGCATGTAAATATGGTGCTTAGGGACATGGTTTAGTGGTGGGCTTGGCAGTGTTAGGGTAAGGGTTGGACCCGACAGTCTTAAAGGTCTTTCCCACCCTAAATGATTCTGTGATTCTAAGGTCATCATGATAGTCCTCAGTAGACATAGTCCAGTTTCATTTTGAACCCATATAAAATTTTAGTAGGCTACAACATCCTATGGCAGGGAAATTTGCCCTTCAACAAGATGCTCTATGAAGAACAACCTCCTTCTGTTGTGTTTGGTTTTTTTTTCCAAACCTGCCCATGCTAGTTTCATGCAATACCACCATGGTTTTGCAGCAAAAGAGAAAATAAACCAATTCTTCTCCTTGCCACACATGATCTTACAGACACCTGCCATGTTCTCACTCACATTCTGCAGTGGAAGTAGACAGGGTATATTCTTACTCTGCATTCAGGAGGTGGAGCTGTCTTCTTCTCAGAGAGGAGCACAAGGATTTAAATCAGGAGTTTAACAAAAATGCGTATGATCACACTTCAGCTGACTAGCATGCCTACTTCTTGGAAAGGTTTGTCATGTTTATTAAGGCCCTGCATTAGGAATGAGGTCAAAGTACACTTCTGACTTTGTTCCTTTGAAGTCAGAAGTCAGGCACCCAGTACAGCTGGAACCCAATGTGACCAGGTCAGAAGATCAGTGGCAAATTTCCTTCTAAGTTCACAGGACACATTATGGAATTAAAAAAAAAAAAAAAAGAAAAACCGTCCTTCCCACATAAATCTCTGGATTTATGAAATGCCACTGGATGGTGCTCCATCTTAAGGATTTAATTCTCCTTTTTCTTGCACTTCAGCAAGTCAAGTAGCAGGTGAGTCCCCTCTCAGTGGTACACACCCCTTTCTGCTTCCCATCCCCCAAGAGGGCACATCTGCCACATCTCAAATTAGTAACTTTTGTGCTGTGAATCTGAAACCTGGCCACGACACTGCTCCCAGCATCTACTGGTGAAGGCCTACAGCTTGCTGCATTGTTACTTACAGAAAGTCAAGTGTTGAGGCCCTGGCTATTATTAAGCAGGACAGTTTGTAGGAAGACTAAGAAATTTTATTACACCAGTAAGCGTAGCTGCAAAAATCAGACAAGCAAGACCAGTACCAACTTGTTCACCGTTGCAGGAGGGTGCACAGGTCGGACATCCCTGAATGAAGGGGTCTGGCACCCACAGAGCCGAGGCACCTCTAGCCTAGAGGGACACCAGGTGCTCTAATAAATGAAGTCAGACTGTTCGAGCCACAGAGCTTGTCCCGCCAGCCAGTGTCCTTCGACCGCCATGGCCACTGCCCATGATCAGTGGAGCTCCCTGATTAGCAGTTGATTTCTGTCTCTGTAGTAACACCCTATCCATTTCCTTCTCTTCCCACTCCCGTCCCGTCCCGTCCCCTCCCGTCCCTTTGAACCCGCCCGCCCCCTGCCCTGGCGTGTGACGTCATCGCTGTGCCTGTCTCTTATACACATCTTCCCTAAGCACCATATTTACATGCCTTTTAAATACCTCCAGGGGTGGTGACTCAACCCCTTCCCTGGGCAGCTGACAATCCTTTCAGTGAAGAAATTTTCCCAATATCTAGTCTAAACTTTCCCTGGTGCAACTTGAGGCTGTTTCTTCTTGTCCCATCACTTATTACTTGGGAGAAGAGACCAACCCCCACCTCGCTACAACCTCCTTTCAGGTAGCTGTAGAGCGCCATAAGGTCTCCCCTCAGGCTCCTTTCTCCATGTTTTGCGGAGAAATCACTCTATAACTTTTGGAGTTATAAAATGGGTATGTTTATTCAGAGCTGGGCACATGGGGGATCACTCCACCACAAGCATGCGCATTGTTTGCAGCTCCCGTCCAGCTTATATGTTACAAAATAGTGCATATTCATAGAACGCCTGTACATATACATAGTCTACCCATGCCTCCCCTTGCTTCTCATGGTAATCAGGTCTCCTCCTCTTGCGCCTGTGCGATGAGCTCTTCAAGCTCCGGGCTGGGGTCGCAACTTCCTGGGGAGGGGTCGTAAAGATGAAGTACCTCTTCTTCCTCGCTGATGAACTTTTCACCCTGT